AGGTCGCGGGTTCAAGTCCCGATGAAGTCATTGGATTTTTTTCAGTTGACCTAATCCTTCCAGCCGCACTAGGCCCTGGGGTCGACTCAGCCTCTAACAGAAATGAGTACCAGAAATTAACTAAATAATTTTCCTGGGGAGTAAAGCGCGGCCGGAGCGTAAGGCTGACAACCTTACCGCCATCTTTGAGCCGATTGTCTAGATAATGTGGGACCCTCAACGTCTCACAACCCTATGGGCCTTCACGGCCTGGTACAGAGATAGCTTTACTTTTTTTTTAACTTTTCAAGATTTGCATAAAGGAATCCGGTCACATGCTTTAAATTTGTCTACCAGTAAAATACGTTAGTGTCTGAATTATGTTATCGTAATTTATAATTAAAGTACTCGGAGAAAACCTGCCCCAGCGCCACTTTGTCCACCACAAATCCCACCTGACCAGACCTGGGATCGAACCCGGGGCGCCTCGGTGGGAAGCCAGCGACTAACCGCTTGAGGTATGGCGCGGCCAAACTGAATAGTTGATACTCGAAAGAAGTTCCTATAGATAAACATTATATAGAGTTCTGGAGGGCGAAGTAGGCAAAGTATTATTAATGTTGACAGATAGTACCAAGTAAACACATACTAAACGTAATGGTCACGTGCGTAGCATTTCTTCTTCGTATTCTGGCCGTTCTGCGTTCAGATCATTGACCGAATACCTTCGGTTAATGATCTGAACTCAGTACGGCCAGTCTGGCAGCTATTTTATATTCGGAATTACTGGGTTTGTGGACTTTGCTAAATTCTATCAGCTTTTTCGTAGCTTTCCAAATTTCCTGCATGGAATTTCTGTGCCCCGTTCTCTTCCTTCCTCTTATCTTCCACTTCATTATTCCCTCGTCACCTTACGATTCGATGCTGCTCACAGCGCCTTTGATCAGATAAAGTTAGTGTTCATTTCATCTGTATATTTGACTCCCTTCTCGTCTGTAAGATCCTTCTCCTCCTATGAATCTGGATTAAATTTGGTGTAGAGACTCCAGTCAATTAATATTTAAATATATTTTTATATATAACATCAGACCGCCTGTGGTCTAGTGGTCACAGTTCCTGACTAGAGTCCTCGGCGCTACAAGATTTTCTGAGAAGTAGTGGGTCTAGAACGGGGTCCACTCAGCCCCTTGAGGATAACTGAGGAGCAGTTTCAAAGAAATATCGGCTACGGTCTAGAAAACCGAGATTAACGGCCGTGGTGAATCGTTGCGTTGACCACGTGACATACTCTATACGCAAAAGTTGGCACTAACTTCGCCGACAAGCAACGATCGCTCGGTCGGTATAGTTCGCTTGCGGACTACAGGCAATGGAGTTTGTTTCTTTGTTTGTTTATATATTACATCATGTACTTACAGCAGTCATTAAAAGTGAAATGATTTAAGGTGAATTTCATAGATACACACGTTATGTTTATGGTAAGACTTATTAGGAATTAATTTGATAAAAGTCTAATTACTTAAAAAGTTAGTTAGTATGTAAGTAATTAATTTTAAACCGTAAGAAATAGATGATAATGATAGGAGGTGGCTGGAAATTGGGGTGAGGGCGCTTTGGTGTTCGCGCTGTTAAGAAACTGAATCTGTTCTCTGAGAGATAATTGTAATTGGACGCAAGTATTCAAAATAATAAAAGAAATTAGAACTCAGCGTTATCAGGCAAATATCGTCCGAAGATACAAGATGCGCAGGCTCCGCTCTGAGAAATGTGGCCTAGGTCTAGAGTATTTTCCATAGCCACGTGTAACAGCAGGCAGAAACATTATTCTCGTGCAAATGTCAGTATCCTCAGTGCAGAATAGAATTCTCTCTCTGTTACTGTAACAAGTGCTTCCTCATACACGGTACTCAAGCTGGGCCGACTCGCGACCAGGCTAAGTGCTCACTCGCAAAACTGCTGCTGGCAAATCTGAATCAGCTTCAGAAAATGCCCATGTTCCATTTTGTGGTATTGACAAATGCCAATTGCAATATTCTATTTGACTGATTTTGATCCGTGGGCTATTTAACTCCCTATATCAGCTGCACCGTTTATTTAGCACAGAGTGTGACGTGAGGACTAGTTGGGGTGCTTCAGTACACGAGTGTAAAGGCTGCGGGCTGAAAGGCCAAGGTGTGGTTCCCGGCAACGACAGCCATTTTCTCTTGGCCACTCTTCGGCTTTGCGGGATCGAGTCCCGATGAGGTGAATTTTTTCAATTGACGTAATCCTTCCAGCCGCACTATGGCCCTGGGGTCGACTCAGCCTCTAACAGAAATGAGTACCAGGAATATTCTTGGAGGTAAAGGGCGGCCGGCGCGTAAGGCTGACAACATTACCGCCATCTACGAGCCGATTGTCTAGAAAATATTGGAACCTCAACATCTCACAGGCCTATGGGTTTCCAAGGCCTGTTACAGGGATACCTTTACTTACTTACTTTTACTTTTCGGCTTTGGGACTTTTTTTTTTGTCTCTGAAACCAAGATTTAATTTAAATTTAAATTTAATGTAGCTATAATGATGAGGCGCCGGTCACGGTAGCCGAGCGGTCTAAGGCATGTACTGTTTTCGCTCGCTCGGAAGCCGGGATTGTGGGTTCGAATCCCACTCAGGGCATGGATGTTTGTGTGCGTTTGTCGGTGTTTGTGTACAGGTAGAGGCCTTGCGACGAGCTGATCACCCGCCCAAGGAATCCTACCGAATGTGTAAGATCTAGAAAAGCCGAAGTGAACGGAGAAGTTCATGGAGGTAGGCCTAGGCCCAGTGGGACTGTAGTGCCAAGGGAAAACAAATAATTATGAGGCGGTCTTTCTGCCGATAATTAAATATTGTGTAATTCACATAAGATATTTCAGAGGTGAAAGCTGACTGCAACAAAAGAAAGAATTTTCTATGTGATGAACTCTTAGGCTATTCATCGACAGTGTTTCTATTAAGTGGTGAGAGGGTATATATTTCGAAGGAATGCCGTGATATGCTGTCGTAATGCCGAAATAGTATTAGGAATATTTAGACTGATAGAGCTTCTATTCTTTATTTTATTTCGTCATCGCAATAGGAAGTATAGATACACCGTATGTTCGTCGTTTCTCACAGTGTGTTTCGGCCCATTAAGCCAACATTAGGTATTTGACATTTTATATTGACTTGTACTCGTCCGCTAGTAATCCTACATTAACCAGTGTTTACATATTCGAATGCCGGTTTTTTATTTATATACAGGGTGTTTCACGGCTTTAGGACATAACTGCAGGAGGTAATTTCTTAGGTCTTCGTGATCAGAAAAGTTCATATAAACATGTGTCCGATTTTGCCGTTATACAGGGTGTAAATAAATATATCTTACAACGCTCTGTGGTAGATAGATGCGTTCAATGTGATCATATTTTGTTAATACACCCAATACAGATGTCGTCAATTCACTATCTGTTTGCGAATCTCTTTAGGGATATCCTAAACCCACGGGTCCTATCTTCTCATGTACCGTACGGTTCTCACTCCATTCTCCAAGAAGAATGAGATGGTAAACAAAGAAGCTGATGAATTACTAAAGAGATCCTAGATTTTTCCCCCAGCTTTAGATTTCTGCTGCATTTGTTAGCCTACAACCGGAAGAAAATTCTGCCTCCTGCACTTCCTGTGATTAATCTTCATAAACCTCCCTTCCCTTTAAATGAAGCCCATTAATTGAACTTTTACAGCATTGCCGTGAATAACAAAGTTGCATACATATATCTATCTATGGCTCGATAGCCCTAGTGCAGTATTTCTCAAACACCGGGCGCTCGTCTTATAAAAAAACTTTACTGAACCGCTGACTCACAAATGTTAAGAACAACTGCCCTAGTGGACCTTGGTCGTTCTTTTCAGTTTCTTAATCCTATACACAGTCGGTAGGAATCCTTGGATGGGGGATCAGTCCGTCGCAAGGCCGCTACCTACACACAGAACGACACAGACACAGAATAAAAGCACACAGACATCCATGCCTCGAATGAGATTCGAACTCATGATCCCAGTATTCGAGTGTGTGAACACGTTGCATGCCTTAGACCGCGCGGTCACAGAGATCGGCTAGTTACATATATACATTTATAAATTTTAACATTCAAATGTACACAATACATAAAATAATACATGTTCAATATAAACTCATTCCTTAATGTGAGATTTTAGATTTATACGGCAGTGAAATCTCAGATTATCATTTTCTGTGTTATTTTGTCGTGTAATCTTCTCCCCTGAAGATGGAAGCAGCAGGTGTCTCCGAAACTTTGTAAATCCTAGCAGTGTACATGTCGTTATAACCTAGAAGATCACAATGTAAATCTATGATGATAAATACCTAATTTATGTGTTTCAATCCATTTCTGTTTCATAAAAATATAAATTCCCCAAAATAAACAAGGACTGACATAATAACCAAATTTACGTAAGGTCTGAGATTTTTCACGGCGGTGACTATGAAGAAATCAGTCGTCTGGGTTGTGGGGCCTTGTAGATAGTGTGTTAACCGACGTTTCGGATGAACGTCGGTTAACACACTATCTACACGGCGCTACGTCCCAGAAGACTGCTTTCTTCAACCAAATTTACAATCGGAAATATCCATCATGGAACGTGTGGAGGAAAAGGGATTCGATTTACAAAATGTGACTGTATGCATCATTTTCAGGAACATTATTGGCTTGTTTAAATGGAATGCACTCAGTAATATATCATTTATTTGCAATGGGCCGTCTCACTTTGTCCATGGTACTATAATTTTAAAACGATCTCATCAAGAATCCACAACAGATTTTCAGATCCTGCTACAAGGTGTGTCGGAGAGGAAATGCTTTTGGGTAGAAGGAAATTTCTTCTGGAAATAACACTTTGATCCAAGAGTATAGTATGTATGAACTAAAAACCGTCGTTTTCATAGAGTAAGGTCGACGGTAATGAACATGCTACACCATTAATATTTTTGTTTCCCACAGCTCCCGTTGATAGTCGTGCTAGCTTCGCTGGTGACAGCCCAACAGTACCCAGAGCAGTACCAAGTGCACGACGATGGTGATTCGTCATCAGCAGCAGTCTCTTCGCCAAGAGTCCCCGATTTCAGCAAATATTATGCTTCAGAGACATCTCCCGGCGGCCAGAAATCTGCAGCTGCTGCTGAAGAGGCTGGCTTTGTGCGCCCAATAGACTTCTCAGCCCTCTTCGGAGCCACTAATGTTGGGTTTGGTGGCGATGCTGCAGGTTCGAGTCAAGTCTTTCGTCCTGCGAACTCAGATTTGAACAATTTTGCTCTGCCACTATCGAATGCAGCAAGTGTCTTCCCTGCAGAACTAGAAGGCAGTGCTACAACAAAGAATAGTGACGTTGGGTTCACTAGTCCAAATGTGAAGTTCCAGTCCCTTTTTGATGCATCTGGTTCCGCAACAGAAGTTGGTTTCCGGCCCCAAGATTTCCTGAAGCCCCCAGGAGGCGATAAGGCATCAGAAGAAAGCTCTCCTGCAACTACTTCAGGCTTCTTCTCGCCATCTTTTGCGAAGTTAGACGGCGAATACAATGTTCATCCAGGACCACAGTATTCTCACTATGCCTTGCCAGCAGCTGCCGAGCAGCGTCCTAATAAATCAGCGTACCGTGCTTCATCTGAATCAGAAGAAGAGGATTCGCCCACGTACGCTCCTGCAACTTCAAAGGAGAGTTACGATGAGAAGAAAAGTTACAAAGCATCCCCCACAGAGGAATACTCCTTTAAGCCTACCTACAAAGCCAAAGTTCCTGAGTACATCGAAGGGAAATCAAGCTACGCCCCGTCTGCAGATAAATATGTCTACAGACCTATTTACGGCCCTCCGTCCCAAGATCGCACATCTTCAAGCGAGGCAGTAAAATCTGCATACGTGCCTTCTGCTGATTATTACACAAGTAAGACCAATTATCGTCCCTCTCCATCAGAACATCAGCAAAGAAGTAAACCAATCTACTCTTCACCACCTCCCCTCGATATTTATGGAAAATCTGCTTCATACCTACCAGCATCTACAGAGCAGCGTGAGGAAAAGCCGCGTTATTCGTCCCATGTAGATCCTGATGTTATATATGGCAAGAGTCTGCCACCTACATACCAGCCATTGTCGTCAGAACCACACCAAGGAAAATCCAGCTATCCTGTGACTTATCCTACGGCTGTGTATAATGACAAGTACATATCGAAGCCATCTCCATCATCTCAGTCAAAATTCTATAGCAGTACAACAATTCCATTTAGCACCGGAAAACCTTCATCTCTTCCGAACGCTAAATCTGCTACTCCGACAGCTGGGAGCCCTAGTAACAAACAAGAATCTTATGAAGACGAACCTGCCGGACACGGACCCCCAGAATATGCGCCGTCAGGCACAGCAACTGACAAGAAGAAGTGTAAGAAAATTAACAAAAAGCTCACTGCCGATGACGTTGCTAAAGGGCGGTTCCGTCGCGATGCTATGACTTGCTACGAATGCGAAGACCCCAAAACAGGGGGGACCTTTGAGCAGTGTGCGTACTCGACAGAGCCAAATGCAAAGTCATATTTCGTTGGGCACGCCCAGAAATATAGCACAAATTCTGGCACAAAGCCAACCAGCTACCGGTATCGTAGATACCTCAGTAACGATCCATATGGGCTTGATGAGGAGGGAGAGGAATTAGTTGCTGCAGAGTCGCATTCTAGAGTTGCTCGTCAAGGTTATGGTTACGAATATGGTGCCTCTGGAAGCGACGGTAAGAAAGGGGATTATCACTACGACCCAGAATACTTCACTAGCAGCAGTGATGATTACACTGAATACAAGCCATCAGGAACCAACATAGATCAAAAGAATTGCAAGACAACAAAGAAGGATACCATGACCTGTATGGTGTGCAAAGATCCTAAGACTGGTGGCTCTTATGAACAATGTTCATATACTGCAGAACCGAAAAAAAATAACTACTTTGTGGCACATGAAACTTCCTTCAACTCAGGAAATAAGCAACCGTATACTGAGAAACACAGCGAGTACAAATATCCTCATGGGAGCTCAAGTTCAGATGAACCTCATTCTCGACAAGTTCGACAGGAACCTTCTCCGAGAATCAAGAAAGAGAAGTTGAAGAAGGCTATAGGCAAGAGTAATGTTAATAACAAGTATGACAGCCCGTACGAATTTTCTGCTAGTACAATAAACAGACGTGAGGCAAAGGAAGAAAAGAAGGGTGGAGTAGGATTGGATCCTTTCTTGTACGGTGAACCGGAGCCGTACGATCCAAAAGCTTCCGAGAAGGAAGCAGAAGAAACAGAACAGCAAGATTCATACTTTCCGGGAGGTAAATCCTATGACGAATATTTCCGACACCTCTTCCCCGAGTTACATGACGGGGGTAAGGAAAGCGCCAGCAGCGACTCCGAAAGCTATGACTACCCTTCTTCCGCCAATACAAAGAACGAGAAAACTGTGACACCTGGATTCGAATATAAACCTAGTCTTCCTGACTACTTTACCGACAACGAACAGAAGAAAGATCTCGAGAAAGTTCTGGGAGAATTCACTCAAAAGGACCGCTCCGCGTGCAAGAAAGTGGTTAAGGACAAGATGACGTGTTACAAATGTGTGGATAGCAAAGGAATGCAGCATGAAGAGTGTATGTTTGTGGCGGCGTCCGAGCCCAAGAGTTCTCATCTGGCCTATCACGAAGTGAAGGAGTACAGGTTAGTTCCTCCACCGGGTGTGCCCGACGGGAAGGGGTCTCCTGCTGCATCTCTTCCCGTAGCAGCTGATTCCGTTTCTTCTTCCTCCTCTGACATTACCAAGACTAGCGACAAATCTTCAACAGCTACGGACAAAGTTACAAAAACTGTAGTGACAACTACCACCCCAAAACCTAAACGGAAAACCTTTTTTAAGAAAGTGACGACTTCAACTTCTGCAACTCCAGTCGCTGACAGCAAATATGGAGAAACTTCTAAAGTTGAGATCCTTAAGGTAATGCAGAAACCTACTAAGCCTCTTTCCTCTTCTTCATCATCTGAGAAATCTCCTGCTGTTGCCGTCAGATTAACGCGCAGGTCCTCTAGGACTTCGGTTCACACAACAACTACCACTCTTACAACACCCGAACCGCCTCGTAAGAAACGGAAACTGTCAAAGAAGGCCGTTAAATATGATTCAGTACCAGCAGCTAGTGAGACCAGTGAGAAGAAGGTTCCGGCTACAAAATCCAGTGTAATTCCTCCAGAGCCAGAACTCTCAGCCTCTGACCTGAGTCCTGATGGATATTACAGCGCGGAGACCAAGACGAAATTTGACCCAGTTCTGAAAGTCACTCTTCCGGAGTACATGTTGACACGTTCCGAACATGAGGCCATCTTTGACGAAGTGATGGCGTCTGGACGCAGACGCTGAGACAACACGTAGACACAGACTGCGACCTAAACAAGTACGTGGGAAATTTGTTCTTACAGAGTCTCTGCTTGGGATACTGTGCATTGCATGTCTTTGTGTCTCCTATGTAGAGTTCTTTCACAAATGTAACAAGTAATTGGCCCTTTAGCGTCACTCTGCACCTTTCTCACATAGACATTCTGCCCTATGTTTGAGAGAGGAGTAGAAATTTTCTCTGCAGTTCTGTGATAGTTAATGATCTTATATAAATAACATTTTTTTCACATACATTTGAGAAGAGGCCGTGTAAGAAAGCCGTTAAATGTTAACAAGTAACCATATTCGGTTAAGTGCATTTCCTAAATCATCGAATTATAAAGTAATGTCCGCAGTACCTGAGGATTGGAGAGTACTAAATAACACTGCAGCAAGAAGCCCAGCTACTGATCCTTGAGACCAGTAATTGGCAGTTTACACACCTGCAAAGAGACTCTTGTGTTGTTATTCAACTGCGCCGCTTCCGCTCATCGTGGTGATCAGCAGTAACACAAAGATTAGGCCGCGCCATAGCTCAAGCGGTTAGTCGCTGGCTTCCCACCGCGGCGACCCGGGTTCGATCCCGGGTCTGGTCAAGTGGGATTTGTGGTGGACAAAGTGGCGCTAGGGCGGGTTTTCTCCGAGTACTTCGGTTTCCCCTGCCCATCTTCATTCCACCAAATTCTCCATCGTCATAATCACCCTGGGCAGGCTACAATAGGTCAATCAGTAGCCGCCGTGCCGAGTGGACCCAGTTGGACTCCACCCCCCACTAAGCGAATTTAACACAAAGATTAAAGAAACATTTTAGCATGCAGAATAGAAGTGTAAGCGACACGACAGTATTCTATTCATTATCCGTGGGTTGACTTGTCGCTTTTGGCTTATCCATATGTAATTTGTGGGCATTCGTACGAACTTCCCGTGGATATCTCCTTGCTTGTTCGCGTGTTTCTACCGCTATTATTCATAACGTTTAACTGTTTTACTTAGCCTAGGACCTATATTAAACACATATCATTGATCGGTATTCAGCCAGTCTATTGGCTTATCGGTCGGATCTACAGAAAACGTGTCACGTGATCACTCTCCACTGTTGCGACCTCACCGCACACACGGAAAACACAGCTTCCTCTGTTGTTGCGTAACCTAGCAGCGGACTATTTACCGAGAATCTGTCTTCGCGGGAACTTGTTTACCAACCCGTTGCGTAACAATGGGTGTGCATGTAATAGTATTTATCGGAGTAAATAATACAGCGAACAGAAACTTTAGAGAAAATGTAACAGACAGTTTATCTTCAACAAAACTTTTCCATAATACTTATTCTTTTATGGATACTATGTAAATGAAGAAATTTGTCTCTATGAAGACTACTCCGAATTTCTGTATTAAGAAATCACCGTCTCTCGATCACACCACAGATTTTGGATATCCGTGTTTTCGATTATTGATACGTCTTTCTCCTTCATTAGCACTTGTAATCGGAGGTATGCTGTTGCACATCCCTCTGTCAGTATGACTACCCACGCAACAATGCCACTTTTTTTTACTAGTAGTATTCTAATTAGAGACTTACTACCTTGTCAAAAATAGAATCAATCATTGCAATAGTGGGAGTACTTTGTAGATACTGTGTTATGCTACTTGTTTGCAAAGGGATAAAGATCTTAACTGAATTTATGTATAAATACATGAACATCCATAATTCACTTTATTTCCAATTGAATCCGACTAAATATAGTCGTTATATAGTTGCATGATCATGGAGTACAGTGTTGCTAATGGTTTCATAAAAGTAAATTAAAAAAGAAATAAATTAATAAATAAGTAAAGTGTGCTTATATTGAGTATTGAAACTGTCTTTATCTATCGGCTCCATCGCGCCAATTTCTGTGCACCAACTGACCTATCTCTGATTTGTCTCAGAAAATCTTAATTGGAAAATATTTGGACCTAAAATTAAGGTAGCATGTTATAGGAGTAGATGAGCGTTCGACTGCTGTTTTAAAGGCGTTTAGGCTCATTCTGGCCATGTTGTACCGCTGTTAGGAAGTGAGCGACTCTACCACGGTACAGCGCATGGGAAATGCCGTTAGGATGTAAATATCTTTATATTAATTTTGGTTTGTTGATTCTTTCCTCCTTAGCCTTTGAGTTGTATTCATCACATAGTACGAGAGAGACAGTGTGCATAAATAGGTCACAAATGGATGTAAAGCAGCTGTAATTGACGTAATACGTTTCCAATATGTATCACTAGGTAGTAGCACAGTCCATCTTCATGACGTTCTAGGCAGCAGACGCAAATGCACATGTTCAGAGGCTGGTTTCAGTATTCAAAATGGCGACATGCTAGAGTAGTGTACTACTGAAGAACAGCCTTCTGTTGTGCTTTTTTTGGGGGGGGGAAGGGCTCAGTTCATAGGATATTCACGGAGAATTGTTTCGTGTTTGTGTTTGTCGCGTAAAGCGGTTCACAACTGGGTCAAGAAATTCTCTCAAAAGCGTTCGAAAGTCGCAGATGCTGAAACAGAGGTGCGGAAATGGCTGAGACAAGAGTCAAAATATTGTCATACTGCGGGTTTCGGCGCACTGGTAAAGCGATGGGACAAGTGTATCAATGTTGGTGGAGGATATGGCGAGAAATAAAACTTATTCTCCAGGTTCGAATATCACATATTTTACGGTTTATATCCATTTATGGCCTATTTACCGACTCTCCCTCATATATGAATGATGGCGCTATATAACAGTCAAGTACAAACTATAAAGGAAAAGGTAAAAAAAAAATTGCCCCTTGGCATAATTAATTAAGCACACCATGCTATGAAGACGTATGGGAACTGGAGTTATGGCTCCACTATTCTTAACCTTGGCACTAGATAGAGGTGAATAGTCGCACGCCCCTGCCACTCAAGACAGATGATTTAATAAACGAGGATATGCTAATTGAAAAATATTACAGAGACAAAGAGAAAACACATTTTCAGAGGAAGTAACAGACTCTTATTCCACTTCAAGCCTCTAACTATCGTCGGTATGGTAGACGAGACACAGGAAGACCAAGAATACGTTGGAAAGAAACGTAAAATACTAGAAACCTGAACAGACAATTCACCTAATCCATGAAATGATTATGATGATATTGATGATAATGAATCATCTTAATAAATAAGATTTTAATACCTCAGATCAATCACGCATACATTCTTCAAATTTAGTTCTAAATGCTTTTCTCTTTCCCCCATATTCTTCTAAATATACGACCTTTTGGCGTGCTATTATAAATTAGATGCCTGCAGTTCCAGCGCAAGCAACCAAGGCACAAGCGTTGAACCGAGCCTTGCACTTTGCAGCCACGTATTCTGAAGCAAACTGTACACGTTACTCAGAAAATCTACAATGTGCTGTTAATTCCTGTTTGGACAGAAGAAATTCAATTTCCATTCCAGCGATTCACAGTAAAGACAAGTGCCCTTCGGAGCGAGGAGGGGGGAATTAAAACTGAACCGGAGATTCGATATGTATCGCAGTGAGTTCGGATGTTAACGGCTAACAGTAATCCGATTTACTTAATGTAATTCTGTGCAGCTCGGAATTCACTTTCCCGCGGACTCTGTAATAAAGAAATACAGGATGTCATTTCAGAGCGAGGAAGGAAGGAATTCCATGTGCTGAGTAGAAAGTACGGTCTGAAATTTTATTTTGCAGTAAAACCTGCTCGCTTATAATAATTAATCGGTGAATTCCTTAATCGTTAATTACTGGATAATCAGTTGAGCTCCATATAAATTTGTCCACATTTTTTAAGCCTCAGATATACTGCATTTAAGCTCATTTATATATTATGAAGATTCCTTGCCCTCTTCGGAGGAACTCCCCCCACAGGTTGCTCTCCTAAATCAGATGAGATTAGTTTAATTTCCCTATTTTGGCCACGAAGCGTCTCGAAATCACAGATGTTTATGCAGCCCTTAATAAAATTCTTATGAAGTAGACCACAAATGAGTGATAATAATAATAATAATAATAATAATAATAATAATAATAAGTAAATGTTAAAGAAGAATATGAGATCAAGGTATCATTGAATTCAACGTGTTTAGAAGTAAAAATAACACTTGTCATGTAACAGAAATGACGCTTAGAAATGTATATGCCACATATTTGCAACTTTCAGTGTGAAGAATTTCTTTGTTTTCTTTTTAAAAAGTTATTCTTATGTTTGGGTTGATGCTGGGAAGTCGAATTACAAATCTTGCCCAAAATTTAGACTGTTTATGTTTTGCTTTTCATTGCTGCGTAATTCGAGAAACCGATATCGCACTAAAATTTGCTGCCAATGAACTGCGCCGTTTCTTGAGGCTTTTCCTCTCAGGCAAAAACACTGCAGTTTATATTTTGTTCTCTTCCTTTCGAAGTCTAATTTCTATTCAAAAGAAGCTTACAAATGCAAATTATCATAAGTTAATAATAATAATTATATTTAAATTATAACTTTTTATATTATAATAGAATTTTCTTGTGGAATCCTTAATTTTTCGTCACGGAACCCCGGGGTTCAGCAAAGCACAGTTTGGGAAACGCTGATTTAGTCCATGCCCGCTACTCTGTTGCATTAAGGACCATCCTAAATTATTTGCGAATTTGCTATAATTTAGAGCAGGGCTGACCAGTTCGCGGCAAGGGGTGGCGTGCATTTCGCCACTGAGTTTTATTTATGTGTCGTTTATTTCACGACGTTGGCACTGGCCGAACTATACAGTGCAACATCTAGTGGTAACATGATTATTGAATCGGACAGAATTTTGGAAAGAAACTGCCGTGACCTAATGGAGTTAATATCCCAGAGTTTGCCTGGAGGTACTGAATAAAACCACGAAAAACGCAATCAGGTTAGCAGTGCACCGACTGGAATTGAAACCGAACCTCTCCCTATTCTAATCTGGAGCGTCCCACTACAGCAAACATCTGAGATGGTTTCATACGGCCCCATAGGATCGTTCCACCCCCAAA